CATAAGTCACTCAATTCGCATACATAACAGAGAAAAATCCATAACTGGGAAGTTCATAGTAGAGAATGTATTTAACATTACAGGTATAGGCAATCCGCCAAAAAATATTTTACAGTTCATAACTGAGAGCCGTACATAACAGAGAACTTCACAACTCGGAGCTTATACTGTATAAAAAGTTTAATAATTTGGTTATAAATATAATGAGCAATATAATGGCAATTATTGATCCGTTCGGTCAAAAAGCCCTTCGCGTCAACCCTTATGTGAGATTTGAATGAAAAGCTTCAATGAGAAAGTTTTATGGCTTTTACAATAAGGGTTTAACATTGAAATCACTCAGGGATTAGTGGTTGGGTACAACAACTTGATAATATAAATTAAAAGCTAATGACTAAGGTATTTCACATATTTACGTTGAATTATAAATTTATATGATTTGAGTTGATTACTACACGAATACTGTTTAGTTGATGAATAACATTCCCTAACTCTGGAATGTTATAATTGATACTGGTTCATTTGTTCAATAAGTTATACCCAAAGTTGTCATAACTGATCCAAATATTTGTCAATAAAATGTACACTTTTGAAAATCCTATGAATACCTGTGAGTCCAGATTCAGCACATTTTGCACAATAGTATAGAAGTATAGGTTCGGCCAATCCGTGCGGTTATTGTCGCGGGAGTTGAAGTACGTTATGCTGTCCGAGGCGTAGGCTAACGGCCCGCTGTTTGTGCTCCACAACTGGTACATCTGCTCGATGGACATCTGTGGGCCGGGTGTGCCCAGTGTCTGGTCCTTCACCCACATGTGTATGGAGACGGCCGGGTGGTCCTGGAGGTTGTCGCCCACCGGGAGGTCCGCGATCACCGGTATTCCGAACTCTTCCAAGTGGTGTTTGGGTCCAATGCCCGACACCATCAACAGCTGAGGGGAACGCACCACACCTTCACACAAATGTTACCATCATTTAGTTCACAGTTTTGTGCAATTTATTTTACGAGGTTTTTGTATTTTTTAAATACCGGCGCAAAGTATGACTTCCTTGCGGGCCATAACCGTGTGTTTGTATCCGTTTTTAGTATACTCGACACCGGTAGCTACGGGAACTCCATTGTGGCCTTTGGTGAACAGTATCTTGGTGACAAACGCGTAAATCAATACATTGAGATTGTCTATCAATTAAGACAAATAGACATTAATTAACTAAATCTTCTTAACATAACACTGAAACACATACCGGAGTGCGGGTTGGGATCGATATAAGCGTTGGCAGTGCTGGAACGCCTACCATCCCTGGCAGTGGCCTGGGCTATGGTCGTACCCAATTGATTGGCGCCGTTGATGTCCATACTCCTGATGCCGATCGAGTTGAGCGCCTGTTGATGGACAAGGAGTAGGGGCGCCGGCAGCGGGTCAGTGGACACACCGACGGGTCCGGCCGTGCCGTGAAAGCCGGGATTCTGGGCCACCAATAGGGGGTCGGTGTTGTTCTCGGCCCGCATGAAGTAGGGTAACACCTCCTCATAGCTCCAGCCCTTAGCGCCATACCGTGTGACCCAGTTATCGAAGTCATTGCGGTTTCCCCTGTTGTAGATCATGCCGTTTATGGCTGAGGAACCACCTAATCGTTTGCCATTATTGCAGTCCATAGGGATGCCCGTGAAGTACTTCTGAGGAATGGTAGGGTAGCGCCAATCAAACTCCGGGTTGTCTACCAGTGTTTCAGTCAAGCCTAAAATGTGTGTAATTAATAATTATCAGTTTGTTCATAACTAACTTGCTAAGTTATTAAATACATGAGAAAGTAAAAAGTTATTTTTATTTAATTACAGTGTATGCTAACCATTAACTAGTAATTTAGTAAAAATTATATTTAAAATTATAAATACTAAATTATAAATAATTTTAGTACACATCAAAAAATTATTGTTCACTAATATTAATCCTGATAAAATCATGTTCATGATCAATTGTATATTTGCGAACACAAACTCACCAGGGATATCGCTGAGCACCGTTTGCTGTCCACCCGCCTCCAGCAATAATACATGATTATGGGAGTCCTCGGTCAGTCTGTTGGCAATAGGTGCACCGGAAGCGCCGGCACCTACTATGATATAGTCGTACTCGGAGTACTTTTGCTTTTCATCCAGCAACCTATTGTACTCCATTTGCCGCTCAATCTGTATCATCGATATGAACAGCAACTGCACTATAATACTCGGGGCCGTTAAGAATGACCCGTACTTTGCGAACACCATGTTTAATTATTTATTTTTTTAAATTACTATTTATTTGTACACAAATTAATTGTGAATTTTTCTATACACTACTCATTCATAAATATTTTGGCGAAAATAAAAACTAAAAACTTTTTTGATTGTATTCGTGAAGTCAAGACCGCATTGAATAATGTTTTTCCAATAACGGCTCGTATTGTATGGGAAAAGCGGTGCTTAATCACTGGCTTTCCTATCCATATACTAATTAAAAGAAATTTCTTTGAATACTGAGACACAACCGAGAGATTAGGATTACTTGTATTGCGAGTCCTGTGGCCAGTGAAAGCACTGGGAGGTCACTCACGATACGGCTCCACCTTATTTCACTTTCAGACCACTTCCAAACTTTTATTTTTTATTATAAATAAAAAAATTAAATCTAGTTTTAAATATAAAACAAAATCTCTATTTAAATATTGCCTTAATTATTTTGAAATTTATTTTAATGCATAACTTTATCACAAACCATATCATAGCGCTAAAAACC